AATTGAATCCATCCGGCAGGAGAGCCAAAGTCAGACGTTCATTAGCATAATAAATAGCTAGCAGTGTGCACGAAACACTACCGTCTCAAGTGTGCGCCACTACGCGCAGGCTCGCAGCTCGCAGCGACCACCTCAGTTTTCACAATGTTCATAAAATATGCTAATTTTCGTACAACAAATTTCATGCCCGTGAACATGATGGCTACTTCTTGATTAATCAATTACAGTTATGATACTTGTGATCGTCTTCTATTTGTGTAATGTTTAATTTGCTGTTTTAAATTTACAGTTCTTTGTTGTTCGTAAGCCGTTAGTTTTTGTATGTGTAGAGTTATGTCTATTTTATACGCTTTATATTATTATAATTATTTAGCTTGTCCTGCATTTATGTATTTATGTTCAATTCATGATTTATTCATTTTTAAGCATTTTATTAGTTCAGGCATCATAAGGTCATAACTTTATAGGATTTTTTTATATTTTAAATTTAGTTTTCCCACACTACCACAAGTCTGAATAATTCGAAATCATGCAGACGGATTAAGAAGACCCAATGACAATAAAAATTTCATAACTATGGCTTAGTATTCTTGCTAGTATCATAACAGATTATTTCCTTCCTTAAAAGTACGTTCCTAGTACACAACTTTTATGGTGTATTTGGAAAATGTTTCAGTAAGGAGCAATATCGGCAACCTTGGGGTACAAATTATCGTAAAGTTCTGCTCGATGCCCAAATAGTCAATTGCACAAACATTGACTCTGGCTAGGATCTAAGCTCAAAATGCGAGAAAATACTTTAATCATTGATTCAAGTGGTCGTTATGGCTTACGATTTATAGTTATTTCTCAAACAATCTTCAAAAAGAAAAAACTGTGAATTGTTACAGAAACATAGAGTTACTAATAAAATGTATTATCTTCATGTCGGTATAAACTTGGTTCCTTTCTAGAGGTTATCAAACTTTTATCACTTGAGCGGGAACTAGCAAACACACAGCGTGTTTAGCACTCCACGTTATCAGACGGACGAGTGCGACCTTACGTTAGTATCTCGTTTGAATATTACAAACCGTTTTAATAGACTGACACAATTATTGGCTGCGTTTGGCAGAAAAAAGCGCTAGCAAGCGCTTGTAAGCAAAATGGCGATCGTAAGCGTTAAGTGCTGTAAAATCGTAAATAGCTATTTTCCTCTAGGACACGAAGTTAGCTTTAACCGGGGAACCTAACCTAATTTAAATATATGTTTGTAAACTATTCATATTAAAAACTTACCAATCATGAATTTTTAATAACATGTATAATATATTTATTCATGTCATTATATTACTTGAAACTAATATTGCACAAAACAACTTATAAGCTCAACTTCAAAACAAACAAATTAGATAAGCAAAATGGCGGATTGTGTCAGCGCTACTGAAGCTAGCATACTCGTCCTGGCCGAAAACTGTTTAGTTTCGCCATTTTGCTTACAAGTGCTTGCTAGCGCTTTTTTCTGCCAAACGCAGCCTATAAGTGCAAGTTAAAGGTGTGAAATAAAATGTCAAACAAAAATATTAAGTGCTAACAGAATAACTTTCAAAGATATGCTGAAAAGTATAATATTATAAAATTAATGTTACAATTTTCATATAACGCTTTTATTGATATTACAATATCTGCCCGATTCTTTGTTATCGATGCCGTGTCTAATGCGTAATTTCACAAGTGACAGCTGTCGGATTTACCGTGCAAAGCAAATATTACTATATATTATATTATATATACGTACTGAACATCTTTATCGATATCCACAGTGGATATTATATCCAAATCGACAAAAATACCTATACAATAGGAAGAAACAACTTTTATATTATAAATGTTTTATGCTGCTGTCTGCCTACACAAGACTTAACTTCAGGGCAGTTTTTTTCTGTACTATAGAATGCTGATCTATCGAGATGGGATATTTTTAAAATAGGCCAAAGTCTAATCGAACAAAATCAGTACGATCATCAGTTGCAAACCTATATTTGAAACTACTATACGAACAGTTAATTTACAGTACCTAGCCATAAGCATGGATAAAAAAAAAAGAAATGGCTGGAGCATTTTTATACAAATGGTTGTAAAACTTTTCGATTTATTATATTCGCTTATATTTATTTTCTTCCAATAGTAAAAAAAAAACTAATGTGGATGAATGAGTTTGTTAATAGTTAATTATTGGAATATTGTAACTTTTCATAACATCGACGGAAAAACAAATGCTACACACATTGAAGTAATATGTACTTACGTACTAGAACAGCTATTTCAAACAAAACATGTGCGCTACTCTGTGTTCGCGCGGTTGGCTTTTTATCATAGAATAAACATAGGTAGAATGATCAGTACGTAATAATAGATTGTATTGTTAAATAGGTCAATTACATCAAGAACAATTTTCAAATTTTGTCATTTATTTTGTATATTATATTTGCATATTTAATATAATATTACATATTATTATATCACAATTACATTTTAATGATATTTTATCTGAATATTTTAAAAGGTATCTATGTCAAATATAAAAAACGTACTAAATGTATGTTTAACAAAGTTTATTAATATAAAATTTAAATTTCATTTATTTATTTAAATTAGAATAAGAGTCATTCATAAATGCTGGGCACGCGAGAGTTAAAAATGGACGAATTTATTCCACTTTGACTTTGATGTGGAAACCTATAAATAAAATAAAAGAATAAGGAGCAGATTTAAATAAAAAAATTGGCCTAATTATGATCTCATATATGTTTCTACAAAAAAAAGTTATAATAATATATTCGTCCTATACTTAAGTACCCACAAAAATGTCGCATCTGAACAAATTAATTTCATAATCTATATTACATGACACAAGATGGCGTCTTAGGAATAATTTGTTTTATTATTAATTTATAATATTTTTTATTGATTAAGTCTCTTATTAACTGATGAAAAGTAATACCTTGGTTTTTACTGACATTTCTTGAATTATTTGTGCAATATCTAAGTACACACGACGGCATGTTTTTATTAAGAGATTTTTTTAAATCAACACAACACGTGACAACTCTATAAGCCCCTAGCGAGTGACTGTTAGTGATGTCAACCGGTTTTGAGAAAACCTGATAAAAACCGGTTTTTGATAAAACCGGTATGAACCGGTTCTAGTTAAATAACTAGTTAATTATTTAACTAGAACCTAGTTAGTCTAGTTAAATTATTTTGCCTGTTGGCAGCCCTATAACTTTACAACGTGTATATGTATCCTTATGAATAGCAGTGGTTAGGGAATGTCGAAAATGTCGCCCGATAGCAATAGGGGATTTACCGATCAGAGACAATTGTAAGATTCTGCAATTGTCTTTGCAAAGCATAGCGATAGTCCGAGCGAGTTAAAGTTTGTGCCGTATTTTACTGCCTAAAATAACTGTTTATGATTTGTTTATAACAAGAAAAAGAACTACAAAAGGTAATTAGCATTATTATGTTTTGCTTAAATAAAAAAGCAGTTTTATGTCAATTTTACCTGTGGTCTATAAAGTAACCTATTAATTTGATCGATTTTTTCGTTTTCAGGATGCCAAAAGTAAAAGGAAAATCTCTTACAAGAAATCATTTTGAAAAATTGAATAATGATTCGGCTAAATGTCACTTACGTGGAAAAATTATTTAGGTTGTAAGGTTGGCGGAGGGACATCTAATATGTTAGCTCATCTCAAGAGAAGTCATCCACAGGCAACAGTGCCAATGAATCCTGAGAAGCATTTCATCAATAACAATGAGCATTATATCCCGCTCAAATCAAATAATACTGACCAAAAGCATCCATGGAAAACCTTTATTCAAAGTAAGTTGAAAATGACGATGGGGAGTAACAAAAAAAAAAATAGATGAATATCTTACATTGATGATCGCCACCGATTTGCAGCCCTTCCCCGTAGTTGAAGACAAAAGCTTCAAAAGCTTTTGTCTTCAACTACGGAGAATTGCTAGTAGCTTTTGTCTATCCTTAATAAGCCTTAAATCCTACCTATGTACTGCCTTCAAGAGGAAAAATTAGATATGAATTGATGCCCGTACGCAAATGTGAAGAAGCAGCTTGAGAGTTTCTTAAAAAATGTGGAATACGTCGCACTAACAACAGATCTATGGTCAAATCAGAACATGGACTCATTTATAAAGGTTACGGTACGGTTTACATTTTGACAACATCGGAAGTTCCTAATTCGCATACTTCTGAAAATTTGGCAGAAATCATGAAGAACATTTTAATGGAATGGAAACTTCATAAGAAAGTTGCTGCTATTGTGACTGATAATGCTTACAATATGAAAAAAAATGTGTGATTTGCTTGACATACGGCACATGCCGTGCTTTGCCCATACTCTTAATTTAACCGTCGAAGAATCGTTACAGCTCGCACAGGTGGAAGAAGTTATCAAGAAATGCAAAGCAATTGTGTTTTCTTTTTAAGAAGGCGTCTGTTGGATGGCGCGCTCTGAAATCAGAACAGATAGAAAGAAACCCTAATGCTCAGCCACTAAAACTAATCCAAGATATTACGACAAGTAAATTTCATATGATGACCAGAATACTAAAATTGTCCGATGAACTGGCACTTGTATGCCGAAAAGTAAATCAGTCGCCAGAATTCCTCAACTCTTCTGAAGAAAAAATTGTCTAAGACGTCGTAAATGTTTTAGGCATATTGGAAGACGCAACTAAATTGGTGAGTGATGACCAATACCCAACGAGTTCTTTAGTGATTCCCGTAATTTGCGGATTATTTGAAAACCTCAATACCATCGAAATATCACTCGAAACAGATGTAGGCAAGATGTTCCGCTCAGCAGTACGGCGTAACATGAGCAGCAGATTTTTGGCATACAAAACAAGAACTGTGTCATAAATTTCTACATATTCCATCATCATCATCATAGCATCCAACCTTAAGGACCGGCTTTCGTCAAATTGAAAATATGTTATCTGCTAAAGACGGGGTGAGGCGGGAGTTGGGGAGTCTGATACTGGACTACAATAATAAAACCGATGCCCCATCCTCTGATTCAATACCTAAGTCCGAGCAGGTGACAACAAAGAAGCCGGGAATTTCAGACTTCTTAAAACAAAGAAGGACTGAGAGTGGTGTTCCAAATGCGGCTGCTTCTGCAGTAAACATCCTACGCATGTATATGGAAATCGAGATTGACTCTGGGCGAGAAGACAGAAGAACAGAAGTCGCTGGCACTTACTGGAAAACAAATAAACATTTGGCGCCGCTTAATAACATGGCTTTAAAATATCTGTCAGTGCCAGCGACTTCTGTACCTTCGAAACGAATGTTTTCAACTTCCGGCTATTTCTTATCATTGCGAAGGAACAGGTTGCTAGGTGATGCAGTAGATCAACTTTATTTTATCCACCAAAATTGTGATTTAATTATTTAACTAAAAATAAAACTAAGTTTTTTTATTGAATAAAGTTTAATAAGTATTAAAAAAACCTCAATTTTTTCATTGTCATATGGATTCTAAAAACCTAAAAAGAACCGAAGAAAACCGGTTTTTTAAAATTACTAATCGGTTTATACCGGTGCTGAAAATTGTAATCGGTTGACATCGCTAGTGACTGTTTAAGGTGCGGTGTATGCAAGGCTGCAACGCAGTTGAGTGGAACAGAGTAGCTGAATGCAGTGTCGCCTCTAGTACGTAGTACATAATAGCTCAATGACTGACAGTGACAGCTCCTGCCTGACTCAATCTACGATCATTCGTCTCCATTGAAGTAATATGTACTTACGTATTAGAACAGCTATCTCAGACAAAAAATGTGCGCTACTCTGTGTTCGCGCGGTTATTTTTTATCATTGAATAAACATAGGTAGGATGACCCGTAGGTATATAGTACATTGTATAGTTAAATAGGTAAATTATATCGAGAACAACATTTAAATTTTGTCATTTATATTGTATATTATATTTGCTTTTTTAATATAATATTAATTATTAAATCACAATTACATTTTAATGATATTTTTATCTGAATATTTTAAAAGGTATCTAAGTCAAATATAAAAACGTACTAAATGTATGTTTAACAAAACTTATTAACATAACATTTAAATTACAAATATATTTAATTAAATTAGAATAAAAGTCGTTCATAATACTGAGCACGTGAGATTTCAAAATAGACGAATTTATACCACTTTGACTTTGATGTGGAAACCTAAAAATAAAATAAAAGAATAATAAGCAGATTTAAACATGAAAAATTTTGCCAAATTATAACAACTTACATAATATGTTTTTACAAAAATAAATGTATATAATAATATATTTGTTGTATACTTAGATACCCACAGAAATGTCGCATCTGAACTTATTAATTTCATAATCTATATTCCCCACGGAGCAAATAGCTTTATATTTGCTCCGTGGGATGGCGTCTTAAGAATAATTTGTTTTATTATTAATACATAAATTCAAACAGTGGTAGAGCCACGCGGCAGCTTTGCTGTTGCACGTACGGGCCAGCTCAAACCGGGGTGGTACCACGACCTCACAGAATACCGGCGTGAAGTGGAAGCTCTGCTTCCGCATTTCGTCTGGTGAGTGCAGGTGGCCGGAGGCCCAAATCCCCCCCCCCCCCCCATCAACATGGTAGCGGAATTAAATAATGATAGACTACCCCAGCACAGACGGCATATTTTTATCAAGAGATTTTTTTTTAAATCAACACAACACGTGACAACTCTATTAGCGCCTAGCGAGTGGCTAATTAAAGTGCGGTGTGTGCACCGCAGTTGAGTGGAACAGAGTAGTTGAATGCAGTGTCGCCTCTAGTACGTAGTACATAATAGCTCAATGGCTACACAGAAATAATTACTTATGTATAATCTTGAGTTTCCACAAATCTAACTTTATAATTAAAGTTTATTGTATACTGTTGGGACAAATTATAGTACGAAAAATTAAGGGCTTTAAAGATTGAAATATGACGTGACACCATTTTTTTGTTCAGAATAAGGGCGACAAACGAACAAACAGTGCACCTGATGTTAAGTGGATGCTGTGGTCTATAGACATCTACATCTGTCCTCTAATTAGAACCAAAATGCAGATGCATTGTCACCACTGAGGACTAAGATGAAATGCCTCGTTCCCAGTAAAAAGTGTCTCCGGTTCTCTACGCTCACCATACGAAACGCAACAGCATTAAGCTGCTATTTTACGTGGTATTCTGTGAGAGCGTACTCCTACCCCGTTCGAGTCGACCCAGTCGTGATGCAGCCATAATATAGCTGCCGAATGGCTCTTCCACGTATTATAGACATTCCATTATAACATTAAATACATAAACTTAATAGCTACAATAATTATGTTCAAAGATACCATCGCAGAAAGTATTAATTAAAATTTATAGCATTAGAGCGTCAACAGGCTATAATGCCTTTTGGCACAAATGTGTTTTCTTGTTTATGAAGCCTTGTTTATGGTCTTACTTAAGTGCGTAAAACGTTAACCAGCAAAGGCAGACGATGATATCGAAGAACAAAATTAATTGTTAATAAATAGTAAAGTAGTTAAATGTTTGATCAAGCATAATATTGTCTATCAACATTTACACACAACAATTAGTCAATTTTGAAAGTAACTAGAAATTTCAACCGGGTTCAATAGGGTTGGCAGCCGCAGGTTTTTTATTATTTTGCATTGTTATTTCAGTTTATTTATTAGTATTTGTTTCAGTTTCGCTCTGTCGCATCTTACGACACCTACGCGGGACGATATGGGGTGTAGTGGATATACTTACACCGGTTCATTAGTTATTTTAAATTAAGTTTAAGTAACGTAACAAAAAGGAAACTTATGACTTATTGCGAAACGCATTCAAACTTACTACACACACTTTCTATCTAAGCTAATATATATATATATATATATATATATATATATATATATATATATATATATATATATATATATATATACAATATGTAACATAATTAACGCACTTTGAGATTTGTTCAGAATCGTTTACTGAATCGATTCCTTTCATTTTTAAATATAGGTAATTTTTTATCCCAAAAATAATAAAAACTACGTAAATAACAGTCACACTAAATCTGTACAGTCAAAACAAACTGAAATGGACCGTAACTTAAGGCAATAAGACTTTTAAGAGTGCAGTTTTATTTGTGTTATTACTAATTCTGTCCTTCAATAAAAATAAAGAAAAATGAACTTTATTTCAAGCACGTTAAAGTCTTTGCGCTCGTGGATTTGTACTGTGACCACAACATTCTTCCGGAATTAGTATAACTAATTCGATAAATAATCAGTGCATAAAAATTTTGAACTAAAAATTCAGTCTATGTATTATGATTATAACATAATATACTAATTGGGGTGTCTGAGGATGTGCGTTAATTACGTTACATATTGTATATATATACATGACATGGAAGTTAAAGACATCAAACAATATATCGAAATTTAAAAGTCATAACTGAGTTATTAATTAGGATGGAATGTCGTAACAAAAAATGTGAAGGAATCTTAATCACTAAAATGACGAAGGTGACATCAAAGAAAAAAAAGGTGCACTCGAGGCAGCGTAAATCAAACTGTATTATGGTGAGACGAACTCGGAAAAACAAAATAAAGGCGTGTACATAAAAGTGGTGATTGAATTTATACATAAAGTTGAAAGTAGCACTAACAGAAAGCAGTATTTAAATATTATTTTAAATACAACACAGTACACATGCAGTTTATCAAGCACAAAGTTATATTAAATTATAGTAAATTCCAATATACTAGATACGTAGGAAGTCGAAAGTCTGGGATGTTTGCATTATTATTTTTACTCGTACTTTTATATTAGTTAGAATTCTATGTAGTGTGAGAAAAAAAATTGACAAATCACAACCGCATGCGTGATATATAATTTCATAAAAATATTTTTACGTTTTGTCGGGGAATTTTTCTTATTTTACGAAATGAGTACCAATAATTTCTAACTAAAATTTGTCACAAGCTCTCTAACAACCGACTTCTCTCTTCCTTCTGAGTTGGAAGATTTTGTCGTAATATCCACATAATATACTAATTTATTTATTTATTTAAACTTTATTGTACCTTAATAAAAGAAGGGCGGACTTAATGAACTAATCCGTTTTACAACGTGAAATTATTAATATTATTAATTGTTTAGTTAAATAACACCCACCGATTGATTTGATAATCTATTTACCTCGAAGTCTAAATGAACATTTTCGAAAACCGTGTCGCCCATTTCGATCGGTTGATTCGTTCTAAAGATATCATACGGAAAAATTTTATTTACGTACATACACACACACACACACACGCACACGCATACGCACACGCACCACGCACCACGCACACGCGCACGCACGCACGCACGCACACACACACACACACACACACACACACACACACACACACACACACACACACACAGCACGCACGCACGCATCGCACGCACGCACGCACCCACGCATGCACCCACTCATGCACGCACTCATGCACGCACGCATGCACGCACGCAAACACGCACGCGCGCACCCTCGCGAGCGTCCGGACATCTAGCCGGGAATAGTCGAAACGGCTTCCTAGGACCTCAAAACTTGGAGATCTGATGAAAACTCGTATTCTCAAAATCGGACCGAAATCTTTACTTCCTACTTTTAAAAGTATTTAATTTTCAATGCCGGAAGTTATAAATCCAATATAATTCACTATTGTTCTGCATTATCGTATAGCACTCATAGAAATAATCCGTGTGCATTGAGCCCTAAAACGAGTCGGGTGCACCCGTCGTGTAAGTAGCTCGTATATCATAGGAAAGGGGACGATCTGCGGTGAGCGTCCCAGCTTGCCGGGGTTATCGTCGAACGTACGAGCAGAATGGATAAAATTACTCAACTACTAGTTTGAACAAAGGTTTTCCGAACTGACTTGAAGAACTATGTTAACTCGAGTGTAAAAGAAAGACAGCGTTTAAGATACGTCTTTGTAGTCCATGCTACGGTAATAGGTATATTACCTGTTTCATCTAAACGGAACATGAATATTAAATATTTACTGATGGAATATTTTAATTATTTCTTCTTTTCTTAAGGTAGATTTCAAGGTTTCTATGGTGGACCGTAGAATCTACTTCTCACCAGGTGTACTGTGTGCTCGTTCGTCACCCACTCATATGGAACTTTCTTTTCTTCATTTAACCTCAATAATTCCTTTCCTCAGTTAAAAATGATAAATTCAGTTCTGGATGCAAAATTTTTTCAAGTCGATTTATTATCAACATTTAAAGAAGATAGGCACCAAATATGAACTTATCATCATTATAACAGCTCATTTTAAGTCCACTGCTGAACATAGTAGACCCGCAAGGAATTTTACAAAGACCTATGTAC